GAAGCTGTTGTCGCTGATGATGATGCTGCTGATGATGATGATGACGAGGATGATGATGACCAGGCTGATGATGCTGATGATGATGACGTGGTTGATGATGCTGATGATGCTGATGGTGATGATGATGCTGATGATGCTGCTACTGATGCTGATGCTGATGATGCTTATCTTGATACTGCTGCTGATGATGTGGATGATCATGTTGCTGACAATAATGATGCTGATGACAATGATGCTGATGGCAATGCTGATGATGCTGATGCTGATGATGATGCTGGTGATTAGGAGGCTGCTGTTTATGATGCTGATGATGGCCATGATGGTGATGCTGCTGCTGCTGCTGCTGCTGCTGATGATGATGATGATGATGATGATGATGATGATGATGATGCCGCTGATGCTGATGCTGCTGCTGATGATGATAATGCTGCTGATGATGAAGAGGAGAAGGAGGAGGAGGAGGAGGAGGAGGAGGAGGAGGATGGAAGTGAAACGGCCTTGTAGGCGCCTTGCCGCCTTTGGTGAGACCATAGTTCTGGTGTAATGCCATGGTGTATCATTCGAAGGCATGACGTGTCCTGCCTCGAGTGGGAAGGTTCAGCTTGACACTCGTGCTCGATGCGGCAATGCAGCCAGAGGAGATAAATTTGAAGACCCCTGAAGGCGCATGCTGGACTGTGGGACAGACCAAAAATATTCCCCTGGTTTGTTCTGCCGCCGCTGCGGCTGGGACCCTTTGGAGCCCACTCGGATCTCTCCAGTGGACTGGGGGGCGTGGTCAGAGGCCTCAGCGATTGTGCCTTCGCATATGTGGCTTTCTCCATCATTCCCGGCATTTCTGCACCGACCGGATAGGAGGAGGACGGGACGAGGTGGAGGAGAAGGGGAGGAGGAGGAGGAGGAGGAAGAGGAGGAGGACGAGGAGGATGACGGGGTGGGAAGGGGGGAGGAGTAGGATGATACTTAGGAGCAGTAGGAGGAGGATGAGGAGGAGAGGAGGAGGAGGAGGAGGAGGAGGAGGAGGAGGAGGAGGAGGAGGAGGAGGAGGAGGAGGAGGAGGAGGAGGAGGAGGAGGAGGAGGAGGGGACCGAGCAGGTGGTCGATGAAGAAGTGGAGAAATAGGAGGATTCAGATGATGTGGAGGATGGTAAGGATAAAACTGAGGGAGAGGATGACAAGCTGGGTGCGCTCGAGCCATATCTGACATCCTACCCATTCTACCCATCCTTTCCCATTGCGCTGTGTGCTCTCTGACCGCCATCGTGTGTTATAGCGAACCTGTAACCCCAGGGATGGTCCCATCGCGCCGTGAGCAATCGGGAAAAGGCGAGCCGTGTACCTTGGAGGAGGAGTTGGCGGACGAGCAGGAGGAGGAGCAGGAGAACGAGGAATGGGGAGGACGAGGACGACCAGCAGCAGAAGCGGCAGGAGCTGGAGTGAAAGAAGCGGGAGGAGCAGGCGGACCAGGGGACGGCGGAGGAGGGGGAGTGATGGAGGCGACATCGATGAAGAAGGACTCGGATCCAGACAAGCGGCCCGCGCTGTGGCGAGGGGGCCATTCTGAACGAGGGGAGCAAAGAGGAGGAATAGGAGGAGGAGGAGGAGGAGGAGAAGGCGGAGGAGGAGGAGGAGGAGGACGAGGAGAAGGAGCAGGAGGAGCAGGAGTAGCAGTGGGAGCAGGAGGAGCAGGAGGCGCAGGATGTGGATGATGATGATGATGATGATGCTGATGATGATGATGATGATGATGATGATGATGATGCTGATGCTGATGCTGATGCTGCTGCTGATGATGATGACGATGACGATGACGATGATGATGATGGTGATGATGGTGATGATGATGGTGATGGTGATGGTGATGTTGATGATTATAATGATGATGATGATGATGATGATGATGATGATGATGATGATGATGATGCTGATGATGATGATGATGACGATGATGATGATGATGACGATGATGCTGATGCTGCTGATGATGATGATGGATGATGATGATGGTGATGAATATCATGATGATGATGATGATGATGATGATGATGATGATGCTGATGATGATGATGATGCTGATGCTGATGCTGATGATGATGATGACGATGATGATGATGATGGTGATGGTGATGGTGATGGTGATGGTGATGGTGGCGATGATGATGCTGCTGATGATGATGATGATGATGATGATGATGATGATGATGATGATGATGAGGAGGAGGAGGAGGAGGAGGAGGAGGAGGAGCAGGGGGAGAAGGTGGAGGAGGAGGAGGAGAAGGAGGAGGAAGTGGGAGGATTGGATAGCAGGATTGTGAGGAAGAGTAGGAGCCAGCGGCTACGAATGCAGCCAAGTGGGCTCCACCAGAGCAAGCGAGGAGAGGCGACGACGACGACGACGAAGAACTGAATGGAGCACAGGGCGCCTGGCCCGCCCTCAGCGGCGCCCGCCGCGGCTCTCTGTGTGCCGCCCCCGCTGCCGGAAGGGTCAGGAGCACCGCCGGGGCCTTCCTCCCCGCTCCCTCCCTCTCCCTCCCGCTCTATTTCTCCTCTCTCTCTCTCTCCTCCTCCTCCTCCTCCGCCTCCTCCTCTTCTCCTCCTCCGCCTCCTCCTCCTCTCCTCCTCTCTCTTCTTCTCTTCTCCTCTTCTCCTCTTCTCCTCTTCTCCCCTCCTTCTCCTCCTCCTCCTCCTCCTCCTCCTCCTCTCTCCAGCTCCCTCCTCCTCCCCCTCCTGCTCCTCCTACTCCTGCTTCTCCTTTCCTCCTCCTCCTCCTCCTCCTCCTCCTTCTGCTCCCCCTCCTCCCCCTCCTCCTCCTTCTCCTCCTCCTCCTCCTCCTCCTCCTCCTGCCCTCCTCCTCCTCCTCCCCTCCTCCTCCTCCCCCCCCCTCTCCTCCTCTTCTCCTCTTCTCCTCTTCTCCTCTTCTCCTCCTCCTCCTCCTCCTCCTCCTCCCGACCCCGCTGCCCGCCGCAGCCTGGCCGGCCGGTGCCAGCCAGGCGTGTCCTGCGTCGTCGGCCGTGCAAGCCGCGCGGGGTTGGGCCCAGGAGGCTCAGGCACCGACGGGGCGGCGCGACGCCCTTCGGGCTCCGGTCGCCTCCGTCCGGCGACCGGCGCTGGCTGGGCGGCCGCAGGCCAGGGCGCGTCTGGCTGCGGCGCACCGAGCGCGGTCCGCTACTCGCAAAGTGCCTGCAGTCGACCCGCATAGCAATGATGGGCAACCTTCCAAAGGGTACCCTTGGATCCTTGCCCCTTCGGCCCATCCCTGGCGACTCCTGCTGGCCAGCCTCGCTCGAAAAACGCTGACGTGGCCCTCCAAGGCCCTCTGCATCCTTATCGCGCATCCTTCTGATGATACGTGCCGACTGTGCTCGCAAGCGCCAGAAACAAACACATGTCTTCCTAGGTGTATCGGGGGAGCGTAAGACCTGGGTTTGCCAGGACTCGGGTTCGCCATCGTTTTTTGACGACCGCGCCTCGGATTTTGACGAGGAGGAGTTTCGTGGGATGTCTGCAGCGGGAGGCCTCGTCAAAATGCAGGCTCGGCCTCGTCATTTTTTTGACGACCTCCTCGGGGATTTCCGAGCCCCCCGTACCCAGGTCTTACGTCCCCCTGAGTGCAGTGGATCGCAAGCCCCCCATCGGCGGATCCGGGCCATCTGCGAGCAGCTACCTCGAGAGCGAGTCGTGGGGCGCGCTCGTCTATGGCGGCAGCGGCCCAGAGGAAAACCGTGGGCGGCGGGGCCGAGGTCCCGCCCCTTTGGCACCAGGCCGTGTGCACGTGTCGTCTGGGCGAGGGCCCTCGAGGAGCCTCTCGGCCCATCGTGCGAGGTCCCTCACCACCCACCAAACCACCCCCACCCAACCAGAAGGTCCAAATTTATCCTCGATTTCCAGTGGGGGGGGGTCGGGGAACATTGAAAAAACACGTGGAATCCGTACCCCCCCCAATCCGAAATTCGGTTCAAATTCGGGTCTTCGGGTTGGGTTGGGGTGGTCTGGTAGGTAGTCAGTCCCGTCTCTTGGCATCGCCAGGACGTCTGCGTCCTTTCGGAGCGAGGACCCTCGAGGAGCCTCCTGGCCCATCTTGCGAGACTTCGCTTGGCACGGAGCCCGGGAGAAGCGCGCGGGGCAGGGACGTCCAAGCGACGGCAAGGGCCCTGGCCGGGCTCACGCGGCGCAGTGCTGCTCGAGTCCTGGTCCCGAGGCCCTGGAGGCCGAGCGCGTCGGCAGGCGGAGCGGCGGCGAGGTTTTTTGGAGTCTGAGGCACGGCCTCTCTGAGGGCGTTGCCGCCTCCTTTGCCTCCCTCCTTCTCCTGCCTTCTTCCTCCTTCCTCCTCCCTTCTTCCTCCCTCCTCCTCTCCCTCCTCTTCGTTTCTTGATGTGGGGGCTCGAGAAGTGAGACGCCCCGCACACAGGGGCAGACTTGCCCGAGAAGACGGTCCAGCACTGTGCGTGGCCGCAGTAGCCAGGTCATGAGATAGATGACCTTGCCCAGGGCGTAGAGGTGAGAATTTTTGCACCAGCAAAGTGATGTGGAGGAAGACGGGCCCCGAAGGTAGATTCCAGATTCCAGATGTCTTCTTTCTCTTTTTCTTCCTCCTCCCCGTCCCTCCTCCTCCCTCTCCCTCCTGGGAGAAGACTGAGGCAGAACGGGGAGGAGAACTCGTGCGAACACGATTGGGTCATGGTTGCCTGCGCCCGTTCGTGGGAGAGAAGAAGAGGAGGTGGGGGTGGAGGAGGTGGAGGGAGAGAGTGAGGAGGAGGAGGAGGAGGAGGAGGAGGAGGAGGAGGAGGAGGAGGAGGAGGAGGAGGAGGAGGAGGAGAGGAGGAGGAGGAGGAATGGGAGGAGGAATGGGAGAGGAGGAAGGAGGAGGAGGAGGAGGAGGAGGAGGAGGAGGAGGAGGAGGAGGAGGAGGAGGAGGAGGAGGGAGGAGGCGGAGGAGGAGGAGGAGGAGGAGGAGGAGGAGGAGGGGGGCACCTGCTGTGGCTGATGTTTGTGTTCCCCAGGCATGACCCTCCCGCCCGGCGCGCAGAGCGGGAACAGCCTCAGCAACGA